TTGCGCAATGCCGGTCTTGAGGATTTTGAGGCTAACAAATGCCCCTAGTATCATGATCTCACAAGTTCGTTTGTGAGGAGGTTTGAGTATTCATCTTCGCGTAATTCTCCTTCAGTCATGTTTGATCTTTATGACAAATCTTATACCATGGACTTAGAGGATTTCACTCTTACTTGCAAACTTCCATCTTGGGGTAGTGTTAGAGATCCCCCTAAATCTGAATTTAGAAACTTTCTTGCTAGTATAAATGTAGGGGAATCTAGAGATATAACGCAGGCTACCATAGGGAGCATTCACTTTCCTGCTATACATTATTTTTCTCTCTTCATAGGTAGATGCATAAATGCTAAGGATGAAGCATGTCACATGTGTGTCCCTGACCTTAGCATTCTTAGAAGTGTTGTGTTAGGAGACCAATCTTATCATATGGGAGCCATTGTAGCTCATAGGTTGCATCATAATAGACATAATGGAGATTTCTTTGGAGGAATTTATGCAACCCGCTTAGCTAATTTTCTTGAGATAGACATTCGTGAGGGTGATACAGAGTTGCCTCCTGCATATTTAGATTATAACTCTATGGCTTCTCATCATTTTGCCAAGAGGCCTGAATCACCTCTCCTATATCGTTTAATTTTTAACAAACGGCATGTTGTCCGTATTACTCTCCCTGCTCCTGCCTTCTTTGATTCTCAGGCAAAACAAAGATATACTATCACCAAAGAGGAGGCAGATGAGTACGAGAGGAGAGCGGAGGCAGTCCGACTCCACGCCGCAGCTCAGCAGGCGATAACCGCTGCATCATAGTATGATCCCAGAAACACCTACGGGTATCCGCCAGGCTATCCCTAGCAATAGACCAACTTAGGCCAAAAGCCTAAGCTTGGGGGAGTACGTATTTCTCACCGACATTACTTTTATGTTCACACACACTCATTGCTAGATGTCGGTGCTCATACTCTTTCACTATAATATCCATGCTAGTTTATTTCCTTTTTCCTGCTTTCTTCTTGTGTATTTGTTAAACCTTAAGAAAAACAAAAAAAATTAGTAGTAGTAATTAAAAAGAAAACCCAAAAATATTTCCCGTTCTTCTTTTGCTTGTTGGGAGCTTTCCCATGTAAATAGTTTTTATTTCTTTTCTTTTCTTTGGGGGTCAGTAGGAGAAGATCATGATTAAATTGTTGAAGTGGCTCTTATATGCATTATTGTTGATTTAACCAAGAGCCCATATTGCCTTGTCTTCTCCTGTTTATTGAATGCTCACAGATTCCAGCTTAGTCCAATGCACGTTCACTCTTATTATTATTCACAAAGTTGGGTCATGCAAGTGAAAGGCAATTATGATGATATATGATGGACTGACTGAGATGAGAAAAGCTGGTATGAACTCGACCTCTTTTGTTTTTGTAAATATGATGAGTCCCTCATTCTTGTTTCGGCTTATTATGAATAAACATGTTTGCAATGACAATTAGAGATCATAGTTGCTTGTGGCATGCTTGATTAGCTATGAGTTATAATGGTTTACCTTGCGTGCCAACATGCTATTGAGATGATTATGATGTGGTATGATGGGGTGGTATCCTCCTTTCAATGATTTAAGTGACTTGACTTGGCACATGTTCACGCATGTAGTTGAAACAAAATCAACATAGCCTTCATGATATTTATGTTCATGGTGGATTATATCCTACTCATGCTCGCATCCAATGTTTATTAATTTTAAAGCATATACATGGCTGTTGTCGCTCTCTAGTTGGTCGCTTCCCAGTCTTTTGCTAGCCTTCACTTGTACTAAGCGGGAATACTGCTTCTGCATCCAATCCCTTAAAGCCCAAAGTTATTCCAGATGAGTCCACTATACCTTCCTATATGCGGTATCTACCTGCCGTTTCAAGTAAATTTGTATGTGCCAAACTCTAAACCTTCAAATAAACATTCTGTTTTGTATGCTCTAATAGCTCATGTATCAACCAAGGCTGTCCTTATCTTCCGTGTTAGGCGGGTGATCGGTTGAAAGTATAGCGGGATATTTCGCCCAAACTGCGAGTGTCGTGTTCTCCACAGGGACTAGATGATCAGCAATGATGCTCGACTAAAGCTAGGTAATACAATTCAGATTATGAATGCCAGAAAATAAACCTAAGCTATCCAAGACAGCTCCAGAAAATCAACGACAAAGTAAATGAAAAGAAGAAAAGGGAGGTTTAGATTATACTCTCAGTCTTTTTGGTATTTTCATATTATTTTAGAAACTTAAAGGCTAACATCAGTGACAAGGGGAGTCAAAAGACATGGACATATATATCTAGCAAGCGTATGAAAGAGGGAAGAAACAAAATTACTTGACAGAAAACATATTATTTAAATCACAAGCACACACACATATATTTATGTAGCAAAGGTACTTGAGCTAACATATGAACTGAAATTAAACAAGTTCACTGGAAAATCACAAGCATAAATGCCACTGGTACATAGCTAGCACAGAGACTAACAAATGAACATCAATTAGACTATAGCAAAGTAACTAGTACAGACAGATTACAGTAGATGTCAAGAAACATACACATAGGGGATCACACACATATACTAGAAGATTACTATATCACAGGGCATATCACACATGCTAAATATTATCCAAACAACTAGACATTAACTAGTCAGAGCACATAATAAAGTGCACTATATTTTACAAGTCCAAAACTGAACAATTGTCAGGTTGCAAGCTTTTATCAAATCTGAATATTACATCTATTAAAACATCTCAATGCTGAATATTACAAAGTTCTGAACAATAAACTTCTCAAAATTACAGAAATTTGAGATCAGAGAGAGAGAGCAGCAGTAGGTAGGTTCAGAGAAGAAGGGTAGCAGGGGAAGTAGAGAGAGATAGCAGTAGGGGGTTGGGAGCAGCAGCAGGTTCAGAGAAGGAGGAGCAGCAGCGAGGGGAAGGAGAGAGGTTTAGAGAGGAAAAAGAAGTAGTAGCAGAAAGTTGAGGGGAAGAGCAGCGGCAAGGGTACGATAAGAAGCAGAGTAGGAGAAACAGAGAGATTAGCAGCGGCAGGGGCGTGGGAGAAGTAGCGAGGCAAGGGAAGGAGCAGCAGCAGGCAAAGAGGAAGAAGGAGGAGAAGCAGCAGCAGGGGAGGAAGAGAGAAAGAGCAGCAGCGTGGGGGTCTTCACGCGGATGACCAGACGCCCGTGCCGCCCTTGTCTAGTCGGGCGCGCAAGATGCGGCGGTGGCTGGAGATGGTGGTGAGTGGTGGATGCTGGTGGTGGGTGTTGGCGTTGGTGATGGATGGCGTTGGAGGGATGGTAATGGGGTGGTGGCTGGATGGCGCACCACCACGCCGGCCTGGCCGTTGTGGCGGCCGGAGGTGAAGATGGAGGGGTGAGGGAGAGAGATGTGATGCCAGGCCCGATTTTGGGGATTGAGGGCGCTAGGGATTTGATTCCCCCGATCGGATCTTCCATTTGCACGTTGGCCCCTGTCCTTTTCTTCTCTCTGCACAAGTTGGTCCTCTTCTTAAGTTTGGCCCCTTTGATTACTTCTTTTTCTTCACGCTTGAGTCCCTCCGTAAATTACAGTAACCACAACTTCTTGACACTCTCCGTTATAGAAGGATTTTGGGCCTTTTCGCCCTTTTCTGCAAAACATGGAGGAGTGTTGTAAATGTAATATAACGGGAACATCCGAATATTTCTTGAGTAAATAATGTGAAAATGTGATTACAATGTGATGCAAAAAGGCTAAAAAGATTATATGAGGAAATGCTCTATCAAGTTCCCCCACACTTAAATCGTTGCTTGTCCTCAAGCAAAGGCATATGACAAGAGCAAGAGTATGAATAGTGAATTGAGTAAAGAATGTCCTGGTAAAATAGATCTCCAAACAAGGCGTGCTTCAGACTTAGCTAGTGAAAATTAATGGTTAAGAGTGCTACAAAGCAGTAGGATACTAGTAAGCATGACCATTTTAACTTTTACAATGATGAAAGAGGATCAACAAGTTTAAATGATGACTGTGCCAAAGGTTCCTAAAGAGAGCATGATCCCGAGAACAAAAAGAACTGGAATTAAATCTTGTGATCAAATCACTTATTTATAGAGATAAAGCAATGATTACATTATTATTAGTCTCACCATAGGAACATACCACCGATCCCGAGAACATGGTATATACCTAGCTCGACCAATTATTAGTTTTTTTGTTTGTCTCCCCAAAGGAACATACCACCGATCCAGAGAACATGGTATACACCTGGTTCGACAATTACAATTTTTATTATTAATTACTGCCCGAGCTAACCCGATTTCACATGCCACCAATCCAGGGAACATGACATGTAGGTAGTCAGACTTATTATTCATTATAAGATATAATTTTTTTAACAAAAACAAGAATCATCACTCAACCATGTCTGGTTCACATGCTACCGATCCAGGGAACATAGCATGCTAGTCCATAGTGGTAAAGTGATTGCCCTGAATGGGAACACACTTGGCACAAATACATCATCTGAACATAGTGATCTAGGTGTATGAAGGTAAATGCAGAAAATGATTAAGTTTACTAGTGCACCAGGGATTTGAGCACTCAAAACTAATAGCTTTCACTACTTTCAGCAAAGCAAGATCACTAGTTTACAAGGAATTCAACAATCAGTTCGCCTATTCTCATCAAGCACGATGCCAAAGGTGAATTTCAGCTTGACAACAAGTAATAACTGGCTCAAGCAACCCCACTAGCAATTGATTTCAGCTTGTATCAATAGATGATATATTCAGATTGGGGTCATGAAATAGCTCATCGGGCTTTATGAAGTAGAACTTGCTCGATCATCTCACATCCTCTTGCATCGTGACTCCTCTCCTTTTGCTTCTCTATCCTAATGCTCTCTATCCTCGTGCACGCTCTAGCTTTTCTCTTCCTTGTATGTGCCCATTGCTTCTCCCTTCCTCACGTGTGTGCCCATTGCTTCTTCTCATCTCCGTGCTCAGGATCCACCAGGGTCCCAAGGAATGTCGTCTCGAACTCGGTCAACTCGCAGTAAATGGTGCACAAGCATCAACCTAAAAGAACACTCAACAACCAAGCCAATACAAGTGACAGAGAGAATGCCCTCTAAGTCATTGATAGAGTACCCTATCATATAAGTATATCTATTGAGCAAATCAGGAACATGTATCAACAACAAGTCACAGGGTGCATAGGTAATATCAGCGATATGACATAACTTATCCAGAAAGCTGACATAATACCTGAAATGGCCTTGGAGAAGTTTTATGACTACCTCAACTGAATATACCATGGAAGGCATGGTAGTAGAAACTTCCACCGGGCTCGTATCGACAGGTGAAATAGTAGGCCTTTGCTCCTTGACATCTGAAGTGACCTCATCATAATCAACAATGAAGATTTCCATCTCAGGCTCAAGCATTGAAGAATCGATGTGGCTAACATCATCAAAGGTGAACTTTTCCGTATCTGGCTCTAGCAGCACATGATCAATATCAACTAAAGGTATCTCCTCAATATCAAAAGTAACTAACTGTAGCTCTGGTTCATCCACACAAGAATCATCACAAAGCAAAACTGAATCTAGAATGCTAGTATCCATATGATCTGAAGTGTGTGTGTCAACTAGGATGGTGTCATCATCATCAAAGATAATCCATGAAAGCTCAATCTTGTCACGCGGAGAAACTGGTTCCGGCTTTTTTGTAAGAGATTCTTGCTGAGATGAAGTGATTTGTTGCAAGCAAGCAACTGGGCCAGAGGTGGGCTTCTCATTGTACCACTGAAGTTGGTGGAAGGCTATGTTCTCAATCAGCAGAAAAGCATCATCAAGTGTCTTGTTTGTAATAGCTCCACCCGCTGCCATATCAACGTAAGATCGAGTGTCCGAAGCCAATCCTCTATAGAATAGCTGCAGCTCTAACCATCTCTCGAGCCCGTGGTTAGGACATCTCCTGAATAAGGCTTTGAACCTCTCCCAAGCATCATACAAGCTCTCGCCTTCACGCTGAACGAAGCTGAAGATCTCATCTTGAATTGTGGACTGCTTGTGTAGTGGGAAATATTTATCCAAGAAAGCTCGTGATATCTCATTTGAACTGAATGACCTTGATGGCAAGGATCGATACCAAGCACGAGCATCATCTCGGAGAGAGAATTTGAACAGCATGCACTTGATAACATCTTGAGGAACTCCATGATACTTTACTATATCTGAATACTCTATGACTCGGAGCAAGTGCTCATAAGGATCTTCAGTAGGCAGTCCTCCAAACTGTTGTTGTTGAACCAAAGCAATAAGACTAGTTTCAGCTCGAAGTTCTCTGCCTCAATAGTTGGCCAAACCAGTCTTGTGATATAGCATAGACTTTTGGGCATCCAAAGGTCACGAAGCAATGCCATCTTAACCGAGTGTAACTATAGAACAACCTGTAATTAGTTCAGATTTCCTACACACACTCATAAATAGTAAACACTAGTCAGAAAGTTAGTATCTTAATAAGCCGAAGCAACAAAAAGTAAGAAGGTAAAAGAAGCACCAAAATAAATTTGACTGGAAATTTAAACAAAAACTATACTAAGCCTAGTCTATAGCTTCACACAATCATTCGACGCTAGTCCCCGGCAACGGCGCCAAAATGATCGGTTGAAAGTACAGCGGGATATTTCGCCCAAACTGTGAGTGTCGTGTTCTCCACAGGGACTAGACGATCAACAATGATGCTCGACTAAAGCTAGGTAATACAATTCAGATTATGAATGCCAGAAAATAAACCTAAGCTATCTTAGACAGCTCCGGAAAATCAACGACAAAGTAAATGAAAAGAAGCGAAGGGAGGTTCAGATTATACTCTTAGTCTTTTTGGTATTTTCATATTATTTTAGAAACTGAAAGGCTAACATCAGTGACAAGGGAAGTTAAAAGACATGGACATATATATCTAGAAAGCGTATGAAAGAGGGAAGAAACAAAATTACTTGACAGAAAACATATTATTTAAATCACAAGCACACACACATATATTTATATAGCAAAGGTACTTGAGCTAACATATGAACTGAAATTAAACAAGTTCACTGGAAAATCACAAGCATAAATGCCACTGGTACATATGTAGCATAGAGACTAACAAATGAACATCAATTAGACCATAGCAAAGTAACTAGTACAGACAGATTACAGTAGATGTCAAGAAACATACACATAGGGGATCACAGACATATACTAGAAGATTACTATATCACAGGGCATATCACACATCCTAATATTATCCAAACAACTAGACATTAACTAGTCAGAGCACATAATAAAGTACACTATATTTTACAAGTCTGAAACTGAACAATTGTCAGGTTGCAAGATTTTATCAAATCTGAATATTACATCTATTAAAACATCTCAATGCTGAATATTACAAAGTTCTGAACAATAAACTTCTCAAAATTACAGAAATTTGAGATCAGAGAGAGAGAGAGCAGCAGTAGGTAGGTTCAGAGAAGAAGGGTAGCAGGGGAAGTAGAGAGAGATAGCAGCAGGGGGTTGGGAGCAGCAGCAGGTTCAGAGAAGGAGGAGCAGCAGTGAGGGGAAGGAGAGAGGTTCAGAGAGGAAAAATAAGTAGCAGCAGAAAGTTGAGGGGAAGAGCAGCGGCAAGGGTACGATAAGAAGCAGAGTAGGAGAAACAGAGAGATTAGCAGCGGCAGGGGCGTGGGAGAAGTAGCGAGGCAGGGGAAGGAGCAGCATCAGGCGAAGAGGAAGAAGAAGGAGAAGCAGCAGCAGGGGAGGAAGAGAGAAAGAACAGCAATGCGGGGGTGTTCACGCGGATGACCAGACGCCCGTGCCGCCCTTGTCTGGTCAGGCGCGCAAGATGCGGCGGTGGCTGGAGATGGTGGTGAGTGGTGGATGCTGGTGGTGGGTGTTGGCGTTGGTGATGGATGGCGTTGGAGGGATGGTAATGGAGTGGTGGCTAGATGGCGCACCACCACACCGGCCTGGCCGTGGCGGCGGCCGGAGGTGAAGAAGGAGGGGTGAGGGAGAGAGATGTGATGCCAGGCCCGATTTTGGGGATTGAGAGCGCTAGGGATTTGATTCCCCCGATCGGATCTTCCATTTGCACGTTGGCCCCTATCCTTTTCTTCTCTCTGCACAAGTTGGTCCTCTTCTTAAGTTTGGCCCCTTTGATTACTTCTTTTTCTTCACGCTTGAGTCCCTCCGTAAATTACAGTAACCACAACTTCTTGACATTCTCCGTTATAGAAGGATTTTGGGCCTTTTCGCCCTTTTCTGCAAAACATGGAGGAGTGTTGTAAATGTAATATAACGGGAACATCCGAATATTTCTTGAGTAAATAATGTGAAAATGTGATTACAATGTGATGCAAAAAGGCTAAAAAGATTATATGAGGAAATGCTCTATCAAGTTCCCCCACACTTAAATCGTTGCTTGTCCTCAAGCAAAGGCATATGACAAGAGCAAGAGTATGAATAGTGAACTGAGTAAAGAACGTCCTGGTAAAATAGATCTCCAAACAAGGCGTGCTTCAGACTTAGCTAGTGAAAATTAATGGTTAAGAGTGCTACAAAGCAGTAGGATACTAGTAAGCATGACCATTTTAACTTTTACAATGATAAAAGAGGATCAACAAGTTTAAATGATGACTGTGCCAAAGGTTCCTAAAGAGAGCATGATCCCGAGAACAAAAAGAACTGAAATTAAATCTTGTGATCAAATCACTTATTTATAGAGATAAAGAAATGATTACGTTATTATTAGTCTCACCATAGGAACATACCACCGATCCCGAGAACATGGTATATACCTAGCTCGACTAATTATTAGTTTTTTTGTTTATCTCCCCAAAGGAACATACCACCGATCCAGAGAACATGGTATACACCTGGTTCGACAATTACAATTTTTATTATTAATTACTGCCCGAGCTAACCCGATTTCACATGCCACCAATCCAGGGAACATGACATGTAGGTAGTCAGACTTATTATTCATTATAAGATATAATTTTTTTAACAAAAACAAGAATCATCACTCAACCATGTCTGGTTCACATGCTACCGATCCAGGGAACATAGCATGCTAGTCCATAGTGGTAAAGTGATTGCTCTGAATGGGAACACACTTGGCACAAATACATCATCTGAACATAGTGATCTAGGTGTATCAAGGTAAATGCAGAAAATGATTAAGTTTACTAGTGCACCAGGGATTTGAGCACTCAAAACTAATAGCTTTCACTACTTTCAGCAAAGCAAGATCACTAGTTTACAAGGAATTCAACAATCAGTTCGCCTATTCTCATCAAGCACGATGCCAAAGGTGAATTTCAGCTTGACAACAAGTAATAACTGGCTCAAGCAACCCCACTAGCAATTGATTTCAGCTTGTATCAATAGATGATATATTCAGATTGGGGTCATGAAATAGCTCATCGGGCTTTATGAAGTAGAACTTGCTCGATCATCTCACATCCTCTTGCATCGTGACTCCTCTCCTTTTGCTTCTCTATCCTAATGCTCTCTATCCTCGTGCACGCTCTAGCTTTTCTCTTCCTTGTATGTGCCCATTGCTTCTCCCTTCCTCACGTGTGTGCCCATTGCTTCTTCTCATCTCCGTGCTCAGGATCCACCAGGGTCCCAAGGAATGTCGTCTCGAACTCGGTCAACTCGCAGTAAATGGTGCACAAGCATCAACCTAAAAGAACACTCAACAACCAAGCCAATACAAGTGACAGAGAGAATGCCCTCTAAGTCATTGATAGAGTACCCTATCATATAAGTATATCTATTGAGCAAATCAGGAACATGTATCAACAACAAGTCACAGGGTGCATAGGTAATATCAGCGATATGACATAACTTATCCAGAAAGCTGACATAATACCTGAAATGGCCTTGGAGAAGTTTTATGACTACCTCAACTGAATATACCATGGAAGGCATGGTAGTAGAAACTTCCACCGGGCTCGTATCGACAGGTGAAATAGTAGGGCTTTGCTCCTTGACATCTGAAGTGACCTCATCATAATCAACAATGAAGATTTCCATCTCAGGCTCAAGCGTTGAAGAATCGATGTGGCTAACATCATCAAAGGTGAACTTTTCCATATCTGGCTCTAGCAGCACATGATCAATATCAACTAAAGGTATCTCCTCAATATCAAAAGTAACTAACTGTAGCTCTGGTTCATCCACACAAGAATCATCACAATGCAAAACTGAATCTAGAATGCTAGTATCCATATGATCTGAAGTGTGTGTGTCAACTAGGATGGTGTCATCATCATCAAAGATAATCCATGAAAGCTCAATCTTGTCACACGGAGAAACTGGTTCCGGCTTTTTTGTAAGAGATTCTTGCTGAGATGAAGTGATTTGTTGCAAGCAAGCAACTGGGCCAGAGGTGGGCTCCTCATTGTACCACTGAAGTTGGTGGAAGGCTATGTTCTCAATCAGCAGAAAAGCATCATCAAGTGTCTTGTTTGTAATAGCTGCACCCGCTGCCATATCAACGTAAGATCGAGTGTCTGAAGCCAATCCTCTATAGAATAGCTGCAGCTCTAACCATCTCTTGAGCCCGTGGTTAGGACATCTCCTGAATAAGGCTTTGTACCTCTCCTAAGCATCATACAAGCTCTCGCCTTCACGCTGAACGAAGCTGAAGATCTCATCTCGAATTGCGGACTGCTTGTGTAGTGGGAAATATTTATCCAAGAAAGCTCGTGATATCTCATTCGAACTGAATGATCTTGATGGCAAGGATCGATACCAAGCATGAGCATCATATCGGAGAGAGAATGTGAACAGCATGCACTTGATAACATCTTGAGGAACTCCATGATACTTTACTATATCTGAATATTCCATGACTCGGAGCAAGTGCTCATAAGGGTCTTCAGTAGGCAGTCCTCCAAATTGTTGTTGTTGAACCAAAGCAATAAGACTAGTTTCAGCTCGAAGTTCTCTGCCTCAATAGTTGGCCAAACCAGTCTTGTGATATAGCATAGACTTTTGGGCATCCAAAGGTCACGAAGCAATGCCATCTTAACCGAGTGTAACTATAGAACAACCTGTAATTAGTTCAGATTTCCTACACACACTCATAAATAGTAAACACTAGTAAGAAAGTTAGTATCTTAATAAGCCAAAGCAACAAAAAGTAAGAAGGTAAAAGAAGCACCAAAATAAATTTGACTGGAAATTTAAACAAAAACTATACTAAGCCTAGTCTATAGCTTCACACAATCATTCGACGCTAGTCCCCGGCAACGGCGCCAAAATGATCGGTTGAAAGTACAGTGGGATATTTCACCCAAACTGCGAGTGTCGTGTTCTCCACAGGGACTAGACGATCAACAATGATGCTTGACTAAAGCTAGGTAATACAATTCAGATTATGAATGCCAGAAAATAAACCTAAGCTATCTAAGACAGCTCCGGAAAATCAACGACAAAGTAAATGAAAAGAAGCGAAGGGAGGTTCAGATTATACTCTCAGTCTTTTTGGTATTTTCATATTATTTTAGAAACTGAAAGGCTAACATCAGTGACAAGGGAAGTTAAAAGACATGGACATATATATCTAGCAAGCGTATGAAAGAGGGAAGAAACAAAATTACTTGACAGAAAACATATTATTTAAATCACAAGCACACACACATATATTTATATAGCAAAGGTACTTGAGCTAACATATGAACTGAAATTAAACAAGTTCACTGGAAAATCACAAGCATAAATGCCACTGGTACATAGCTAGCATAGAGACTAACAAATGAACATCAATTAGACTATAGCAAAGTAACTAGTACAGACAAATTACAGTAGATGTCAAGAAATATACACATAGGGGATCACAGACATATACTAGAAGATTACTATATCACAGGGCATATCACACATCCTAATATTATCCAAACAACTAGACATTAACTAGTCAGAGCACATAATAAAGTACACTATATTTTACAAGTCTGAAACTGAACAATTGTCAGGTTGCAAGATTTTATCAAATCTGAATATTACATCTATTAAAACATCTCAATGCTGAATATTACAAAGTTCTGAACAATAAACTTCTCAAAATTACAGAAATTTGAGATCAGAGAGAGAGAGAGAGCAGTAGGTAGGTTTAGTGAAGAAGGGTAGCAGGGGAAGTAGAGAGAGATAGCAGCAGGGGGTTGGGAGCAGCAGCAGGTTCAGAGAAGGAGGACCAACAGCGAGGGGAAGGAGAGAGGTTCAGAGAGGAAAAAGAAGTAGCAGCAGAAAGTTGAGGGGAAGAACAGCGGCAAGGGTACGATAAGAAGTAGAGTAGGAGAAATAGAGAGATTAGCAGCGGCAGGGGCGTGGGAGAAGTAGCGAGGCAGGGGAAGGAGCAGCATCAGGCGAAGAGGAAGAAGGAGGAGAAGCAGCAGCAGGGGAGGAAGAGAGAAAGAGCAGCAGCGCGGGGGTGTTCACGCGGATGACCAGACGCCCGTGCCGCCCTTGTCTGGTCAGGCGCGCAAGATGCGGCGGTGGCTGGAGATGGTCATGGATTGATGCTTATTGGTGGAGGGGGAGTATAAACTTTACCATTCTGTTTGGGAACCGCCTATAATGTGTTTAGCATGGAAGATATCGCCATCTCTTAGTTGCTACGTTGACAATGGAAGTATGCCGCTCAAAATACAATTTATCTCTATTTCAAAACCGAGCTCTGGCACCTCTACGAATCCCTGCTTCCCTCTGCGAAGGGCCTATCTATTTACTTTTATGTTGAGTCATCACCCTCTTATTAAAAAGCACTAGCTGGAGACCACAGCTGTCATTTGCATTCATCACTATTAATCTATGTTGGGTGTGACTATGATTGGATCTCTTTTACCATGAATTACAATGTCTAGTCAGTCCTTGATCTTTAAAGGTGCTCTGCATTTATGTATTGTGGTCTCAGAAAGGCTAGCGAGATACCATCTTGTTATATCATATTATGATTGTTTTGAAAAGTGTTGTCATCCGAGATTTATTATTATGGCTTGCTAGTTGATTATGCTATTGATATGAGTAATTATGAGTCCTGAGAATTATTGCAAATGTGGTTAGTTATGATCTTTGCTGAAAATTCGAATGCTGGCTTGACATAGTTACAACAACAAGAGCAAACAGAGTTTGTAAAAGTTTTTATTTCTTTCTTTCAGTTTGTCAACTGAATTTCTTGAGGACAAGCAAGGGTTTAAGCTTGGGGGAGTTGATACGTCTCCGTCGTATCTACTTTTCCAAACACTTTTGCTCTTATTTTGGACTCTAACTTGTATGATTTGAATGGAACTAACCCGGACTAGCGATGTTTTTAGCAGAATTGCCATGATGTTGTTTTATGTGCAGAAAGCAGAAGTTCTCGGAATTACCTGAAAATCCACAGGAAGTCTTATAAAAAATAATAAAAAATCCTCGCCAAAGATGAAGACCAGGGGGCCCACACCCTGTCCACGAGGGTGGGGGCCGCCCCCCCCTCTAGGGCGCGCCCCTACCTCGTGGGCCCCCTGGAAACTCTACGACGCCAACTCCAACTCTATATATTTGCTTTCGGAGGGAAAAAATCAGAGAGAAGAAATCATCGCGTTTTACGATACGGAGCCGCCACCAAGCCCTAAAACCTCTCAGGAGGGCTGATCTGAAGTCCGTCCGGGGCTCCGGAGAGGGGGATTCATCGTCGTCGTCATCATCAACCATCCTCCATCACCAATTTCATGATGCTCACCGCCATGCGTGAGTAATTCCATCGTAGGCTTGCTGGACGGTGATGGGTTGGATGAGATTTATCATGTAATCGAGTTAGTTTTGTTAGGGTTGGATCTCTAGTATCCATTATGTTCTGAGATTGATGTTGCTATGACTTTGCTATGCTTAATGCTTGCCACTAGGGCCCGAGTGCCATGATTTCAGATCTGAACCTATTATGTTTTCATGAATATATGTGAGTTCTTGATCCTATCTTGCAAGTCTATAGTCACCTACTATGTGTCATGATCCGGCAACCCCGAAGTGACAATAATCAGGACCACTCCCGGTGATGACCATAGTTTAAGGAGTTCATGTATTCACTATGTGCTAATGCTTTGTTCCGGTTCTCTATTAAAAGGAGGCCTTAATATCCCTTAGTTTCCAATAGGACCCCGCTGCCATGGGAGGGTAGGACAAAATATGTCATGGAAGTCCTTTTCCATAAGCACGTATGACTATATACGGAATACATGCCTACATTACATTGATGAATTGGAGCTAGTTCTGTGTCACCCTATGTTATGACTGTTACATGATGAACCGCATCCTGCATAATTATCCATCACTGATCCGGTGCCTACGAGCTTTCCATATACTGGTTCTCGCTTATTTACTTTCCCGCTGCTACTATTACAATCACTACAAAATACCAAAAACATTACTTTTACTGTCTTTACTTTTGTTGCTGTTACCACCACTATCATATTACTTTGCTACTAAACACTTTGCTGCAGATACTAAGTTTCCAGGTTTGGTTGAATTGACAACTCAGCTGCTAATACTTGAGAATATTCTTTGGCTCCCCTTGTGTCGAAACAATAAATTTGGGTTGAATACTCTACCCTCGAAAGCTGTTGCGATCCCCTGTACTTGTGGGTTATCAGCGTACAGGATGTGATCTTCATCTAATGTCTTCGACTCCCATGCATGATGGAACTCGTGATGAGGTTTCTTCAGTTTAGCTTACGAAGGATCAATCATGGCTGCTGCCAGGGTCAGCATTGAAGGTTGAGAGGAGGACACTAGGCTTGCCTTCTGGAGATCAAAGGGCTGGCCTACAATGAGACCTATCCGACGGAGGACATCCCTGTCGTTCTTAAAGCCTATAGTAACGAATTTCACTCTTTTGTCCTTGAGGAAGTTCTTAAAATCCTGGCACTCAACGTCGACATGCCATATGTGGTAGACCAAGCAAATGTTATGTACGCAAACCTGGATCACAGCGGGCTTCTTCCTCTCTTCGTCCTTTAGATCCTTCTCTCATCCCAGGACTGTGGTGTACTTAACATCTAGCCCAGCGACCCACTCATCTGTTGAACTGTTGAACATGCGTAGGAAGCGAGCAAGCCATGCTTTCACCGTCTCGGATCCATGTGTGTAGATGACGATGAACTGATCGCTGGTGATGGCTGTAACCTGGTACTCAACGGCGACCATGGAGATTTGGGAGGCCATGGATTCTGGAGGAGGGTTAGGAGAAGTTGAACTGTTGTACCCCGCAAAAAAATGGGAGCGAATTAATGTGAAAGGATGGGACGACTGGGAGCGAACTGTTGTAAGGTAGAAGACGGGGACGAGTAGGGCGTGCGAACGGCGTGGGGTTGCTGACTTGCCCGGTGGATAAACGGCTGCAAGCCCCCTAAGAGTTATCGAGAACTATGCGGGACCCACTAGATGTCATGTCTACTAGACCCATATCGTAGGCCTGACGGTATAGCTTCTGCCTGTTCGCACGCCATGCCGGCGCGTGGATGTAACTTCACTTAATTATGTCAAACGTCACGCCTCCCACGACCTTCGCCTCTCTCGCGTGGTCGCGCCCTTTAAGACTTCAACCAGCTATAAATGAGCAATTTTTTTGCCTTTTTTAGACAAGCAATTTTTTTGCCTACTCTGCATGCATGATACTCTCTCTAGTCCTTTTTACTCCCGTCAACCGTTTGCAAAGTGTTTGACCAAATTTTTACTTTTTAACACCACCTTATATTAATTAACCAACCACACCAGTACACTCATTCGATACAATATTCACCACACAGGGCAGTACGTTATTTACAAGAATACCATCTAACTTATTGTCAAAGCTATACTTAGTGATTAAGTGT